TATATATATATATATATATATATATATATATATTATTTTATTCAAATATACTCTGTCCTTTATCAATATCCGAGATCCGGGCCCATTAAAATATTTCTCTATCGGCCAACAAGTCCCGGGAATCCGGGCAATTCGTCAAAACTTCAAGGGCCGATTTAATCCCTCGATCCACCTCTGGTCCTAGATGATATTCTTTGAATAAATAGTTAATTTCTTTAATCCTTTATCCTATTTTGCTATTTTAATTAAAGGTTATGTGATTTTGGAAATATTTTTTAAAGCTTCCAATTTGAGCAGAATTAGATCTATCTGTGTATCTCTATCTGGACTAAATTTAAAATGTAAACTACATTTAACACAAATGAATTGTTATCTGTACATGAGTGATTCCCTGTTTAAAAGTCTGCACGTCATTAGTGAAAAATAAATAGATATATATTTGTAAACTTCTTTTCTTTTTTTTTTAAAGACGTTCTTTCAAAGACGAGTTTAAATCACCAGAACAGAACAATAATTTAAAATTAGCTCTTAAAATGCAAAAAATGCCGAGCATTCTATGCAGGCAAATGATATGAAATGAATTTATTCGAAACTTAAATAATATATTAAAATATGTAGGCCTATTATTTTTTAACTTAGATCTAATTGTTGTTTTTTTAATTCTGCAAAGTTTCTTTGCATAATGTATTTTAAGAAATTGTAAATTATTTATACTTTTAGTGCGTTTTAACTCTTTTTTGGTAAATTTTTTTTTGTTTTTTTTTTTTGTTTTGTTGTTGTTGTTGTTTTTTTGTTTGTATTACTAGTAAATTTAAATTAAATTACCATTGTTTGATGGTTATTTTGAATTTGAAAACTCTTGAACGGCGTATTGATCCTAATCCTAGTATTATAAACTTATTTTAGTTTTAGTCCTCACTCCTAGTAGTAGTGTATTTCCAGGCTAGCAATGTTTTATAATTTGGATCTGTTTATTTCTCTATTGACACTAAAAGTCACACAATCACAAGGGTATTGTTACTGCAACTGTTTGAAAACAAAATCCTTAATCTTAATCACGTGCAAATTCATATCGCCCCACACTTCGCTAACCTAGATTAAAACCCTTATTTCCCCTTGACCTAAAATAGAATCGTCGGACCTTCTTTCCAACCAATCAGATTTCGTATAACGGGCTCAGCCTCCAAAATGTTGGTCACATGATCGGCCGATCGGCTGATTGAATATGGCACAGAGATAAAAGTAGCAGAGGATTCTAGGTCTAGATAAACTATGAAAAGGATTGTTTGGTTATGCAATTGAGATAATTTAAGTCAGACATGAATAGATTCATCAATGGATAATGATCATCAAGACTTACGGATTATTTAAATGAAAAAGGTAAGTTGCTTAGTTAGAGTTCTGGAATTTCACATTCATACTATACTCAACAACAAAGTACAAAGTAAAGTGAACCGACACAACAGCTGAAACAAAAAATTCATTTCTGTATTATGTCAGAAAGAAGCAACCTCGGAAGTGAACTTTGGACAGAATCTATATTTTTTAACAATAAATGGCCTACCAGGTGAAAGCTGTGTTTTTATGGAAATGAATGGATTTCTCATTACCGTTATTTTCTAAATATTTTACACGCGAATAGTGACACTAGACTTAGGTCTGGGGCTAATTAATTAATAATTTAGACTTATAAAAATGGACATGCAGTGTAGGCGTAGAGATAGTAATGATATTCATATAACTTTACTTTTTATAATACCGGCCTACACTTACACTTTCACTACGCAATTAATTAAATGTGCCAACTACAAGTTCAACAAGTCAACTGCATAATAATAATATAATTATTATCAAATAAATACTTTGACTATAGTATACTGTAGTCGTTGTGTCGTAGTCTTTATTATTATTTTTTTTAAAATCACAACACAAGCCTCAGACTCGGACTTAACTTGCTATTAATCCGGGAGTTAGGTCCATTACTAATACATATTTATACTAATGATATGGAACGTAACTGACTTAGACTAACTAGATCCAATAGTGGCTCTACTTAGAATTAGAAGTGATATAAATTATAAACTAGTGCTAAAACCAAACTCTACTACTAACTAGTATTACTAATATTAATTATTAATATACTTTATATACTTAATATACTATTAGGAGGCCTAGGGCTAGGCTAGTTGATGCTCATCATTCATTTTGACTTTACTTTGTTACTACTCACTCCCTCAGTAAAACACTAGTACTAAAGTCCTAGTCTTACTCTAACTCAGTAATAATAATAATATCTATAACAGTAACTGTAATAAATAGTAGTAGTAATAGTATTTAGTAATAGTTTAAAATATCACTACCCCTAATGGGCCAATCCATGAATGATGTCCCACAAATTTTGCTGATTTTTTTAGGCCCCCCCCCCCCATTCGTCTCAAAAAATTACCCCCCCCCCTCAAATATNCACATGCCACGGAAATCAAATTACTGCACCTGTGTCAGAAGCATTTCACTAGAACAGTGGTTCTTAACCAGTGATAAAAGTACCTCCTCTACTCTGAGGTGTGGAAGACCAGAAAACTGTATTTGCTCTCAATACTAGTTTTTGCTGTTTAAAAAAAAAAAAATCAGTTTTCATTCATTTTGATTTTGATTAGCAGCAGTAAATGGTTTTTTTTTTTTTGGTGACTCTTGTTTGCACATTACTTGTACTGGTAATTTTGTTCTTTGTTTATAAAAAGTTAAAGAAATAAGACTATTATAACTAAATTATTTAATTATTTTTATATTTTTAATTTTATTACAATATAATTTATACGGTTGTGGGGGGATGTTTAAAACGGAGTGAGTCTGCAGCGCTGCAAAAAGATCAACCCCCTCCCCCCTCAACCATTTTTTTGATTCCATCCCACTTCACGTGGTAGTCCTAATGCTATGACTCCCGTCTCCACATTTAGACATAAATTCTCCAGATTATCATTGTAACTACACCTGATTCTCCTCCTCCTGTAACTGATTCAATCCAAGGCCATTTCTCAGATCTCCCATACCTGTACTGATTCAGTGATCCTCGTTTAAACATAAAATAATTATAATTGTATAAAAGAAAAATGATAAAATGTCTGTAATTTAGGTTTCTTAAGTGCAATTCTTCACTACAATATACTGATTTACATGTAACGTCACATTTCCTAAGCACTCCCCCTTATTACACATCATTACAAAAATGTGACACCCCCCCCCCCTCGACATGTGACGTCATTTATGGATGGTCCCTAAGCATAAGCCTAACTACACTACTGTAGTTGTAGACCTAATACTGTAACTGTAATTGTATTAGAATAGATCTCAATTTGCTTAGGCCTCATTTTTATTATTATCCTAATTACTTGGATTTATTAAGTTTAAATTAAAGTAGGCTATAGCGAATATGAGTATAGGCTTATCTAGGGTACTAATCCTATTAGTGTATATAATATTTGCCTATATTTAAAATATTCAAGTACTCCTGGGAAATAAGAAGCCTACTTAGTTATGAGAATTGTCAGATAATAGTTTTTCTTCTGCAGGAAAGTAATAATGTAATTCAATTTATAAAACAGTATATGTTAGAAACTAGGTCATGGTAATGTCATGGACCATGGAGGAATAATTCATTTATTTCAATTTGATCATTCAAATACTGAGACCTATGAAATTATCCGATCATTATTATTGATTGACTGAACTGACCTCTGTATTCATCAATCTTGATCACCTACTATTCAGTTTATCCCTTAGTTTAGTCTTTGTAGTCTTTGTAAGTTCCTCCATTTGAACATGTTTTTTTGTTGTTTTTTTTTAAACCAGGTTTAGACTCTGAGAACATCATTACTGTAAATCATGAGTCTGGGACTGGTTGGTCGTTTTTTTCAAAATCTGAAAGGATTCTACAATGGAATCAATCCAGCAACTCTAACAGGAGCAATTGATGTTGTTATAGTGAAACAACCAGATGGCACATATCATTCCTCACCCTTTCATGTTCGCTTTGGAAAGCTTGGTGTGCTCAGGTCTAGAGAGAAAGTGGTGAGTTGATTTGTCAATTCCACATATGCCTAACTTTGGCCTTGTTTATGTTGACTTTGAAGAAAAAAAGTGTGTTCCAACAGTGTATTAATCATGTGTTAGGAGGATTTAGTGTCATACTGAATCAATCATTGTAATTGTAATTATAAATATACTATGGGCACCCATTCAAATATTATTCAAATTTATTTTAAAAACCAAACTGAATAGATTACTGTTTCTATTATTAACAACTGTATGATTTTCAATAATACCAGAAAAACAGAATATATATGAAGTCAGAGTTTTATTCTCACTGATAATTTCTCATTACTGACAGGTGGATATTGAAGTAAATGGGGAGGCAACAGATTTACAGATGAAGCTTGGTGAGGCCGGCGAAGCCTTCTTTGTTCAGGAGATTGAATCTGAGGAAGAAGTTAGTATTTCATGGGAGAAAAAACTGCTTATTTTGTTGCTTTTTTTCTTTCTGCGCTGTAATAGTTTAATCTTATCTGTTTGCTTGCTACTGCGTTGGAAAGACCCAAGCTATGGTCTACATTTTACATGAATCAGATGGAGAATCTTAACGTTAAACATTCAAATATTTTATTCATATCTCTGTACCTAAAGAAAAAACATTTATACATATGTATCAAATATCTAATGTTAAAGATTAACAGAACATTGAAATTATTTATTCAGTTATTTCTCTAATCATGAAAATTTTACTTTTCATTCAAAATACACTTTAATCATTGAGCTAACTTGTTTGAAATCTTGCTTTTGATCTAGCTTCTTACTGACAATGCTCTTAGATTTTAAGTCTTTTTTTTTTTTTTCAATTTTTTTTTTTTTTTAAAATTTTATTTTTAATAATCCTTTTTTAAAAGATATGGTTAATTATTTAGGTAAGTCCTTCTCATTTTCTTTTGTTTATTTCCTTTTCTTTTTTTTTAATTTAGCTTTTTAATGACAATGTTTTTAGTTTTTAAGTTTTTTTTTTTTTTTTCAATTTTTTTTTTATTTTAAAAGTTTATTTGCAATAATCCCTTTTAGAAAGATATGGTTAATTACTTAGGCAAGTCCTGCTCATTATCATTTGTTTATTTCCTTTTCTGTTACCCTGCCTCAGGATATTCCAGAGTATTTAGCTACATCCCCGCTTCCATCTTCTATGCAATTAATGGAAATGGGCATCCAGGACCTACACAAGCAGATAAAGGCATCAGAAAATGCCAGCACTGCTGCAGAGCTCAAGAAAGAAGAGCCCCCGGGCTCTGCAGATGTTCAGCTCAAGATCAGGGACCCTCGCAGTGACAGCTCATGGGATGAGCCGAAAATAAGTGGCAAGCCCAGGAGGAAAGTGCTGAAAAAAAAGAAGCAGAAATCCACTGGGACCAGACAGAGCCCTAGATCAATGTCCATGCCAGAGAATGTTACCAATGAAGAGGTCATGTTCGAGCTCGAGTTCACCAACTCGTCAGATGATGATGATGCCTTGAAGCGAGTCTATGGCAGCAGAAGTTCCAGTTCTCCGGAAATAAAAGACATGGACATGTCGGTTCAAGGCACTACCAGCTACAGAAGAATCAACTCTTTTGGTGGCGGCTCATTTGTTACACCCTTCAGTGATCCAGAGATGTCACCTGTGGGGAGGCAAGTTCAGCCATTAAATATTTAATTTTTGTTAAGACTGTGAAAATAATTTTGTCCTGGTTATTGTTATACCTCTGCCCTTTAATCTGGTTAAAGTTAATCTGTTTTTTGGGGGGTTTTCTTTTAGTCCCATCTGTACCCGGCCCTCCACTCCAAAGAGTGACACTGAGGTGGATAAGCAGCACACGGAGCAAAACCAAACCTCTGCGTTGATGGAGACCAGCGCCACCTGGCAGTGGGGAGAGTTCCCGACCAATGTGGAGACAACTCCCCGCTCTGAGAAGGCGATCCATGAGGCCAAAGGTGAAGAAGGTGGGCTTAGTTTTTGTGTACAGGTTGATTGTTGGCAATCCTTGTATATAAAACAGCCGATCAAAAAAAATTATTTAAAATTCATTATTATTGAAGCAATTAATGACTGTGCCTTCCTACATTTTTAATAAAAAAATTTTAAAGTAGACTTCAGAAACATTAAAACTTTTGTACTCTTATCTGTGTTGTTCTGATAAGATTTAAGACAATATTGAATCTCTTGGGGTTTTCATTATTCTTAATTATTTCTTTCCCAAATGTCTGGAGTCATTTTTTTGTGTGCCATAAATTGAGTAAAGTTTTTTTGTTTTTTTTTGTATAAGCTAAAAATAAAAAAAGTGAAACGGGTAGGGAGAACTCAATCGCTTTAAAGTATATTGATGCTTTGGCATTGTTTCGTTGTTCAGTATTACATCACTGTCATTTCAAGGCGTCACATAACAGTCTCCAGGCTCTCACAAACTTGTCAAATCTTTCTTTTCCATTTGAAAAGTAATTCTCTTTTGCTGTGACTAAATGTGAGAAATATTGTGTGCATGTTGAACCAAACTCTTGATTTTTATAAAGTCACTTGAAATTTACATCATGTTTATTTTTTTATTTATTTTTGCCATCAGTGAAAGGAAGTGGGGGCTTCATGTCCATGTGGAGGCCATCCACCATCAAAAAGGCAGAAGGAATATACCTGGATGATCTAACAAGCATGGACGATCCAGAGATGGCAAAGATTTACCTTGGCAGGACGAGGTTCGTAAGCAATCTCATTAGCCTAGAGTTGTTTCTGGGGGCTTAGTTTAATTTTCAGGGCTACTGATAATCTGACTTTTTGATGTCTCTTGATACTTGATATCTTAAAGTAATTTTATTTCCCACCTGCATTTTCAGTATTCGTGAAAATGAGGATGACACAGAATCCGGAAGAGGCCAGTCACTACCCCAGTCCCCCAATTCTGTAGAGGGTGCTATCGGTGGCCCTGTCAGCTTTACTATGTCTGAAGTGCGGCACCTGGGCCCCGTGGCTCTTTCGCTGTGTGGTGGTTTGAGTGATAGTGATACCATAACTCTTGACAAGTTCATGCAGAAGGTTGTGACCTTTGAAGATCTGGCAGAGAACCCAAACATCACTTTGAACCCTGATCTTGTTGTCAAAATTCATGACAGGTAAGGAGAAATTATCAGAGTAATATAATCTCAAGTAAGAATGACTTTTTTTTTTGTTTTTTAGGAAAAATCCGTCATTTATTTATAGTTGAGGAAATGTATTGTGCATATTCAAAAGTAATCTTATAAATCTATGTCATATTGAATAAATAAGCAATTCAATACTTAAATATATAATTTATAATATATAAAATTCAACATTTTAAAGTATCTCAAGGAGCAACTGTTAACCCACTTATTTTATTTCCTACCAGTTCTTTTGTAATGTTACATGACCCTTGACCCTTACATAATCCTCCTGTTATGTTAGCTTTGTATTTTTTTCCCCACCAGGTTTTACAACTGGGCAACAGCTGGCCCAATGGTGCTATCACAGATTGTCTTCCACAAGCAGCTTCCAGACGTAAGTGCATACCTAGTTTTCAGCTGTTCACTTGTTTGACTATGTTGAATTTTTTTTTAATGAGGGCAAATCCCATAGTGATTAACCTTAATTTATCATTGAACTCATTAAATAAGCTCAAAATGGGGTTATTCATGTGGCTACTAACAAATTAATATCATATGAAATTTTTTTAAAGTGGGCCTGCATACCCAGAATGATGTATTTAACTGCGCTGCTGTAGCTTTGTAATCTTCAGTTGCATACCTGGCAAATAATATGATCTAAGCTAGCAAGAGTGTTAATTTTATCTCAAATTGTTTGTTTGGATAACCTGCTGATCAAAGAATCACTGGCCACATAAGTCAAGTGATTAGAATAGTGCAGCAATAATATGAACGTTGTCTTCCTTTCAACACTGCCGCCAAATATTCCCACAATTTTTTTCCTTATTTCTCTATGCAGCCCTCACAGGTAAGCCCACTGCCACCACAGAGAAGCTGACCAGCTATGTTAGCTTTTGTTTTGCTGTCAGTTAATATATTGAAATTCTTTGAAATTTCAAAAAATCTTGCCCATGGATTCAATTCCCTTACAGATGTGGGAAAGAAAAGTTCCTGCTTTACATTTCAAAATTTTTCTTGACGAAACCCATCCCAATTCCTGATGCCTGCAAGCTAATCATTTATTGGTTTACCTGCCTCTGACAAAATCTGCTAACTATCCCATTGTTTTCCACTTTACTCAAACCCTAAATTTCCATTTTAATTTATTTTTAAATGAAATTTATTTTGTATAGAGAGGGAACTAAAGTTTTTTTTAATTTGTTGGGCAATTTATTAAAATTTCCTGCTTATTCAATTAATTCAATTCTAAACAATTTAATTTTCTCAAACACATCCTTTTTATATTTTTGTACTTATAATTTTTTAGAAACAGCAAACTTTGTGGTTAAGAGATAAAGTCAGTTTATAAGGAAAATCCTGCTTTGAATAGCATATTTCTTTCATATAAAAGACATAAGACTGTCCACAAGTGCTCCTAAAACTAATCCATGGCCCTTGCCCTTGTATCCTGATACTTGCGAAAATTGTAAAATATTTCCGTTTTTTGTCATGTACCCTATCCTGCCATCTCTGTACTTCCATCTGTCTCTGCAATTTGCATTCAATGTGTTTAAACAAGCAAGCAATCAATAAAAAGGGGACACCTTCACTGATGGTGTTTTCACTCTAGACCACATTCAAGAACTATGTAACAAGTTAACAAAAACTTTCCATTCACCACCTCAATAATTGTTTGTTTTAGTGTCTACTGGTGAACTCTTCACTGAGAATTTAAGCTTGGTGAAAATACATGGACCATTATGAAAAAGTGTTATGCATATTTGTGAAAGAAAAATTCCTTTCACTCACTTGTTGTGTTTTCTTTAAGCTGCTATTTCCATAAGACACTGAATCTCAAACTATTCCACTCTGCTTATTTTGTCTTATTAATGTGACATAATCTTCTCAATATTGTCCTCTGTAGAAGATAAGTCATCTCACATTGTAAATTAATAAAAACTAATTGTAATGAAGACAAATATTTCGTTCCCATTTCCTTACAGAGTACTAATGAAACCAACCTTATCACTTTTGTAACTTAATCATTTTTATAATTTACGTTCCTATCATCCTCTCAGTGGAAGCAATGTATAAAAAATCTCCACTAGCTGGACTAAAAAAAAAAATTTCCCATCCTTTTTTGTTGCATGTAGATGACAATGCTTAATCATGAATGGGTGTATAATGATATTTTTGCTTTTTACTTTGGTTTTCAACTGAACGGCTTTAAGAAATTGTACAGGCTACATAATTTTTAAAAATCTACTGGATGCATTTTAAACTGAACGGCTTTAAGAAACTTCACAGGTTGCATAGTTATAAAAAATACCTGATTCATTTTAAACAATTATAAGAAAATTTTAAGTAGCTTGCGGCACATTTAAAATGCTCCATATGGAAGTAATAATAAGAATATTATGTAATTGCCAATGCCAATTTGACCTGGATGCTCAATCTCAGCCTTCTTGCCCTCAGCCTGCTGTCAAGGGTCTAGAGAAGGAACACATGCCAAAGAAGAAAAAGAAGAAGGGCTGGTTCTCCTGGGGCAGATCTGCTGATGTGGATGTTGAATCCGGTCTGAGCATGACTGAATCTGCTAACCTCAGCAGCACAAACACCACAGGAATCGTGGAAAACCTGCCTCAGGTGAGTCTCCAAATTGCTTTTCTTGCCCATTAGTTTTTGTAGCTGAATTAAAGTGTATATGCACAGAGCCCATATGCACAGAGCCCATACCACCAATAACCGTCTGTTTTTTTAAAGAACACAATATACATATTAAGCTTTAAGCAGCCCAGGGCTTTTTATGATGTATCTTAAAGTAATATTTTTCCCATATTGGTTTATTATCTAAATTAGTAACAAAAACACATTTTAAAAACATTTTTTTAACATAAATAAAATTGCTGTTTTAGACTAAAGAAATTAATAAATTAATATCCATGGCAATGGAAAAATCTGTAAAGTTATCTTTATAAAAAAGATCATTGATAGAATTTAATTAATTTACAAATATCTACATCAGTTATTGTTTCTTTTCCCCCCGTGTAGAAAGACAATGCCGCCTCACCTGCCCACTCTCCTAATCCAACGCCACCAGCTAGTAATACAAGCACCCCAAGAAAACATACAGAAAAAATTGTCAGGTGAGTTCTTGGAGATATTTTTATTTAATATTTGTATATTGCTGTTTGTATAATTGATTTAAATAGGTCCCACTCAACAAATCTCCTCAAGAACACATTCTTTGTTTTTTTTGTTTTTTTTTCTGCTCTCAATTTTAAAGGAAACAATGGAGAAAAAAACACTTTCTTTTTCCATTAATTTTTTTAATCTGGAGAAGGAATGGACAGTTAGTTATATTTATATTCAATATAAATGGGCAGAAGATTATTTTGTGTGCTGATAGTGAAGTTGAATTGGGTGCACTTGTATCACTTATTTATGATTTCCTCTGTTATAAAAATAAACTAAACAGTTGAGTGAATATTGCATGAATGACTGCTTGATGGTCACAGGTTACAGCATGATGAAAACACATCCACTGAAACTGACACAGATGCCTCAGAGAAAGATGCTTCCAAGTCCCCCTCCCCGCCACACCCCCTTCCCCCTCCTCCCCCGCCTCCCCCACCGCTCTTGGAGGTCCCACACCAGGACAGTGAGTCGGATACAAGGCGGAGACACCATTCTTCTGCCAGTGACACAGCTGCCGCAGCCATCAGAAACAAGAGGGAAAAGTTTATTAAAACCCTCCGACTGTCCTCAGAGCAAATTGTAAGTTATTAGTGTGGGTGGAGAGGGATTTGGGGGGGGGAGGGGGCTTATTGATTATTAGAATAGTCATGTTTTTTAAAGAAAAAGGGAGAAGGCCATCTGATTGCTTTTAGTGTATTTATTAGTTTCATTAAAATCTCAAAAAAGCTTTCTCCTTCTCTGTGGTACCATTTACTACCATGCTCTTCTGCTCTTCACCTAGACCATCTCGTCATTTCCTTACCACCTTGTCATTTCCATACAATCTCATTTCCTTACAACCTCATCATATCCGTACAGCCTTGACATTTCCTTACCATCTCGTCATTTCCTCATAGTGCAAGCTGAACCTGAAGGAGGGCCACAATGAAATCTCCTTCTCTGTGACCACCCAGTACCAGGGAACTACACGCTGTGTCTCCCACGTCTACCTCTGGAATTATGATGACAAGATTGTCATTTCTGACATTGATGGAACCATTACCAAGTAAGGTTTTCAGTGTATTTTGCATGGAATTTTTTTAAGTCACTTTTACCTGCGTAAATGAACAATATTATTTTCAAATTTGATGAGAGACATTTTTGCCCAGATAATTATATTTTTTTTATAAAGTGAAAGGCTTTTTAAAATAACTCAAATAGAATTAAATTAGCTCTTCACTCTATAAAAAATCTGAGATTTAAAAAATATCTTTACCAGTAATTCAATTAAAAGGGAACGTGTAATAGATGAAACATTGTTTATATATGCTATGATTCTTTTTTAGGAAGGTTTTATTTATTTTTCATAATGATTAGTTACATTTTTTTGTTCTTACATATTTTTCATATTTCCTCCTAGATCTGATGCACTTGGCCAGATTCTACCCATAATAGGCAGGGACTGGTCCCAGTCAGGTGTGGCCCAACTATTTACGCGGATAAACAACAATGGCTATAAGCTTATCTACCTATCAGCAAGGGCCATAGGCCAAAGCCGCAGCACTAAAGATATGCTAAAGAGTATTCGACAGGGGGAGTTAGTGCTTCCTGATGGACCTTTGTTCCTTAACCCAACTTCTCTGTTCAGTGCATTCCACAGGTGAATTGATTTTTACAAAAAAATATAAAGACTGTTTGCACACGTAAAATATTTAAATTTAGAGAATTTGGTAATTTTATTATTTTGAGTAATCTACACATGGTATGGATGTTAAGTTACTAGTATCGATTATTTTAATTTTTTCACTTGCGATCTACTTTTGGAGAAAGAAATTATGACACACAAAAATTAAGTCCTTAGGTGTTAAAGTTAAAAAAACAATATTTCTTCTGTGCCCAGGGAGGTCATCCTGAAGAATCCTGAGGAGTTCAAGATCAGTTGTCTCAAAGATATAGCAGATCTCTTTCCCTTCTCACCATTCTATGCTGGGTTTGGAAATAAACTGAATGTGAGCTTTGCAGAGATTCTGTTTGAAATGTATCCAACATAATTTTAGATGATGCATAGAATTCAAGTAAAAAATAAACAGTCTGTAAGAATTTAATAGTGTTGAAAAAAAAATATTTTTATAAAAAATTAAAATAAAGATGGGCTTTGAGAAATAATGCAAATTTTTGGTAAGGTATTGGATATATATTATATACCTTTATAAAATTTTTTTTTTTATGTTTCTGGTCTTGTATTTCCAGGATGTGATAGCATACAGAGCACTAGATATTCCAAGCTTCCGCATATTCACCATCAATCCCCAAGGACAGCTGAGACATGACCTGTCACTCACATTCTTGTCTTCGTAAGTAAAAATATATCGGCTGTTTTAAAAATATGTTGTCCATTCTACCCCAATGTCTTATCTTCCTGAGTAATCATTTATTAGCTGTTAAAAAAATATTTTATCCATAATTCTAACCCATTTTTTTATTACATTTATCTACATTTTTTTAAATTTTAAATTTCCCCAATGTAAATATACTCAGTTGTTGAAAAATAGATATTGAAAATATAAACACCAAATAATCAGAATGTTACAGGAGACTTGCTATATTTTTATTAAGAAATCATTGCATTCTGCTCAATTGAATGTTTAAGATTTTTTTTTTTAAATAAAAAATTTGACACAATTCTAATTTTAATTGTCATCCACAGCTATTCCGGAATGTCAGATATTGTTGATCACTTCTTCCCATCACTGGACCAAATTGACAGGGGCACATCCGTTGAGTTTAATCCCGTAAACTACTGGCGGTTCCCCATCCCCACGGTCAGCCCAGAGGAGCTTGAGAAGCTGTCCAGTTGTAGTCAAGTCCCAGCAGAAGCTGAGAAGAAATGACATGGGGACCATGGGCACCCAGAGGAAGGAGGGAGCAAAATGAGCCCAGAAAAAAAACACAAGGTGAAAAACTCAATGTTAAAAAAGACAAATGTAAGACATGAGCCACAGAAAACTGTACAAATTCAATGTGATAATGACAAGCCTCTAGGGATTACACCTCACAATGCCAAGAAAAATGTAGAGGCCTCGTTTCAGAACTCTGTCGGCACAAAAGCTGACAGCAATGTTGCTGGTGATTCACTAAGGGAAAGGACCATGCGAACCAAAGAAACTGTTCATCAGAAAATGGCAGTCATTGCTGCAGGAATGTCTGGTGGTGGCGGTCAGGTGACCAGAGACTCTGCAAATTTGTCCAGGTTTGATTCAGAAGAAATTGCTGATGATATAGCTGCAACCCCCTTAACACAAGGTGTCCTAGACCACAAGCTGGAAACAGCCAAGACCATGAAGGACAACAGTGTTGATGTGAATGGAAATTCCCAAAATTATGGTGGGGACCAATGCAATAGTGTTAAAGGTTTCAAGCCCCAAACTTACAAGTCTGATAATTCACATTATGCATTACACCAGGGAAGTCATTCTTCTTTTCATTTTTATAAAAAAATTAACCAAAAAGAAACTCCTCTTGCATCCTCAGATTCTTCTTACTTGAAGAACTTTCTGAAGAAACCCCAAACCAAGTCTGCCGCACTCAACAAACGTGGCGATTTTGTCGGAATGATGAAACCCCAACAAGACGGTCCAAACTCTTATGGCCGTCTAGAGCACATCATCTCATGCAGTCGTGATCTGGTTCCTTCAATCGCCCCCAATGTGTACAGCAGCCAAGGACAGATTTATGCAAGTATCCGCAGTGCAGTAGCTCAGGAAGGGAGGGAAATGTGTGGCAGTAGCCATTCTAAAACTCACCAGAGGATTTCGTCACATAGTTTCGGATCCATGTGCACACCGGGAAAATGTTTCTGTTTTGGTGACCAGGTTTTCTCCTCAGTGTGGGAAAGAAGTTTCCCATCGTCAGATGAACTTTATTACGACTGCTTTGAGCCTGGTGACTACCCTGATAAATCCATGGTTCATTCATCATCAGCTTCATCCTCCTGTTTTTCACTGAAAGCATCAGACCAAAATATGTCACGTTCGTCTTCAACATCATCATTCAAATCAATCCCGGGTTCTCCGGACCCACCAGCAGCCTGCTCCCCTACTGCCTATTTTTCCCCACGCGAAATCACACCCATTTTATCATCAGCGGCTTTGCAGACATCTAACAAGTTCACGTTTTCAGCCTTGCCGTCATCACCTTCTACACCTTGCACTACGACTTCATCACTATCTTCAACAATCTCCCCACCTTTTGGCTCCAGCCGCAACCATCAGCAATCATCTATGCCAGTCATGACTTTGTTTAATCATTCGGTTAACTTTTGGATCATGGAAATAGATTAACCAGAAGATCATATTGTGAAATTCATGAGAAAAAGCTGTTTACCTGCTCAAATAACTATAAAAACAAATGCATCAAGCTTCATTGTTCTTGAGGCATTTTAAAAATCCTCATTTTAAGTCAACCATGATGTCAGTACTCGGCTACTTCCATAAAGCAGTGCTACAATGGAGGACTATAAAAAAATTAAATCGCTTCATTGTTAAGGTTATACCCTGTTTTTATGACCGCATCTCTTCAACTTCAACATAAAACTCTTTATTTTTTAAAATCCCGGTAAATTGATTGATTTATTGTCACAGTAATGTTGTGCAGTAATGCATATCTGTTTTATTCAATGTTTTTTTTTTTTAAAACAAAGAATTCTCAAGTTTGCTTTATCTTTGTATATATATTGTAAATAGTATCATGAACCCATAAAGACATCTAACTCATAATTTTTTTTCCTATTGTTACTTACTGAATTACATATATTTAATGTCCAGGTTTTATATTAAATGTGTAGAGATAGAATTTTTTTTTTTAATACTCTTTTGCAATCATTGTTTTTAAATAGGTTTGTTGACAGCTTCAGTTTTATTTGGTAAGATTATTTTGAAATACACATAACGCTTGTTTTAGTTTTAGGTAAGTAGAAATATTTTGATTTTACCCCAATCCATACTAAGTATATTTTTTCTACTTTGTTAATCAATAAACCACATCATGGAATTAAACTATCATTCCTATTTTCCGACTGCTAAAGAATAAATGGCTCATGATTCAGTATCTTCCCCATCTTAAATTCAAATTTGGTACGGACAAAAATTATTTCCAAAACATATGAATTCATTTACAGTATTTTTGTCAGTGCTACGGCACCTCATTTGAAACATCTTACAATTCTCATCTTACAATTTCTTCTGTAAATCATATTTAATTAATGTATGTGAAGTCATTTCTCTCAGTGCTCTACTGTTTACACTTGTGTAAAACTTGCCGTCACCTTGTTGTAGCTTCGTTTCTGCATACAAGTGCATACATTATAAACCAAACAACAAGAGTAGCATATCTTTAAAACGGTTTTTAGTACCGATCAATGAGACATTTTTAATCATGTGATATTTTTCTGCATTTCAAATAAAAATAAAAACTGTACATAGTACTCTCCGGTGTTTCAATTTATGAAGAGGACAAAGTTTTAGATCAAACCTTGTTTCAAAAATCGATAAGTTTGGTTTACATGCAAAACTGAGCTATAAAAAAAAAAGTAGCTAATTTTCGTTTTATCTGTTGGCAATGTGACAAGTCATTATTCTTTACATTTAATTTCATTGTAAACACACCCATTAACCGATACAAATTTTGTTTTAATTTTGATGTGCCTTTTGGTATTTCCTGCATCATTTGATGATTTGAAGAAGAAACAAATTTAGATACCTAATGTTTTTATTTAATTTTGTTTATTTTTAATGTCTAGTATTAATCTTATGATTTTTTGTTTTTCATTTTATTTGAGATATTTTCAATGTTGTGTGGTAACAAAACTCTCCAAAGATGATTTTAAATGCAAAGCCTATCTTATTTTTTTTCTATGACAGTTGAAATTTAAAACAATGTTTGATATCATTTCATGTTAGAATCTAGTGTACATATACTCGGGTCAGTTTTTTTTAAAAACAAAAGGTAAATTATGTACAAAGTGTTGAGCAGTAGGGTATCTTCAAAAAGAAAAAGAAGAAAATTTGTGTCTTTACATTATGAAGTGTTTTCACTTCAATGAAGTTTTTTGGGGCGTCATTTTAACAAATGGACAAGCCTGGCCTCAAAATTGATACGTTAGTTTTATTTTAGCCATGTCGAATAGTTTTTTAAGGAATATACTTTACACCTATGGGTAAAAAACCTTTTAAAATAGGTAATGTTTGTGTATTTACGTGTAGCTGTTAATGATTCATAAGTCACTGATTTTATTTCATTCAATATTTCATTTCTGTTAGTTCTGGTACTTAAGCTATGCTTACCAAAGTTGTTTATAAATATGCATATTTTCCCCTATTCAATCCATCGCACTGATTTTTTTAAAATGGCATATTCAATTTTTAATGTAGATCCTTCCACTCCTGTAATTTTAGTTATCAGTTCATTGCCTTTTCATTATCTACCAAATTTCCTTGGTATCATCCATTCCAAAACAAATTTTGCACTGTTGGTACAATTCATTTTGATCACCTCTGAATTTAATGGGAGCCGTATCCATTCATTTCCTCAGAAACACAATAGCAATACCCCATAACTGTTTCACTTTGGCAACTAAATTTAAATAATGTTATGAGATGGAAGATGTAATTTTGTACCTCTCAGTGATTTCAGCTAGGTGTTTCCTTGTGTTAGTGTTGTTTCAGGTCTGAGCAGCGTCAGTTGACAGGAGGCTGATGTGCTTTTTAAAAAAACTGTGATACACATAATTCTAATGTAACCTGCCATAATGCGTACTTATTTCTTGGGACCAGAAATGTTATACATCTTCTATTAAATGTTTTTTTAAAAAAAGATGTTATAGTTTACTCCTACTAACAGCCTAACTCTATGATAGTTTGTTTTTTCCCCTCACTCATAACTGTACATAATTGTGAATGTCATCAGACTGAAAGTATAGTTTGTCTAGACTTTGCTCTAGGCTTACAAATAACACATAGGTGATATGTTGAGATATGAATTGTTACTGACAGCATTCAAACAAGAAAGAAAGTTATTTGAATTGGCTCACATTTCCTCTGAAGTCAGTATTTTTGTTTTTGCAGAGAGCTGTGAATTATGTGGCCAATTGAACTGTTTGAAAAAAGCCTATATAAACTTTCAATCGTTTGAAAAGGAAGAAATTGTTTACCTGGTATTTTAAACAATGTCTTTTATGGTATTGTGTTTTTATTCCTGTCAGCTTTACTAGTCAGAACCTGCATTGTTTTTAAGTCAAGTTTGATTAAGTCTAAGCTTCTCTATGACAACCCAACCTTGATATGTTAAGAAATATTGTTATATTTTACCATAGTTCAGTTGAGAATCTTTTATCAATCAACTCCACATTCTGTTTAATATGCAAGCTGCTTTTTCTAAACTTTATGAATTCTAGCAATGCATGTATTTTAAGCCCAATAATTTATCAGTTTAGAACCAAAATGTCCAAGAATTTATTTTGCATAGACCAGTCCAGTCGATTTCATATAAACCAGTGAATTCAAGACCTGGGACATATCAGCCTGCTGGACCAGCTTAAAACTAATGTACCCCGGTATTCTAAGAGATCTTGGCGTTTTTTAAAGTATGATGGATATTTCTAAAACAACCTCTAAGAGAAACTCAGATATTTAGTTTTTCAACATGCAGACATTCCTCTTACACCTTGGACAGTTTCTAAATTAAGTTAGTGATAACACTTTCTTAAACCACCCATTTCAAAATTCATCTAATTGTATAAATTATAAACCTATCTTTAATCTTTCTTTCAACGAACAGTTATTGTTATCTCGTCTAAGCATTTTATTTGAAAATATTGCAGATCAAATATAAAAAAAAAACACTTGGTGGTCATCATGAAATTATAATTTAAAAAAATAATAAAATTGCCCATGTCATGTAATAACTTTGAGCAGTCAGTGTGAAACATACAAATATCCAACCTTGCTTACTGTGTGATGTTATGATATCAGGTATTTACTTGCCATTAATCATTTGATTCCAAAACTATTGTATATCCATATAACTATTTGAACTAGTCAGTAGTTGATTGTAGTGCAATGATTTAGGTTATGGGTAGTGTCATACATTAGAAAGCATCATCATCCTTCAGCTTCATTAGCCTTTTGGGCATGTGCCCTTCCCGCTAATACATTAAAAAAAAAAAAAGAGTACTTTTTAAAATTATTTGTAAAAAAAAAAAATTAATTTTATTTATTTATTCATTCAATGCCACATAATTATATTTTCATAGGACATTTTGCCTTTTTTTTTTTTCATTTCAGTGTTAAATATATCATTAGGATCAAATACATAATTACAATTTAAATGCATTAGGACTTGTATTTTCTATTTAGTTAGCAACAGTCTGTATAATAAAATGTTATGTTATTTTAACCCAACCTATTTTTTGAAAATGTTTTTCTCATTTTAAAAGTTTATTTTGAATGTATTTGTTTTCCCATTAAAAAAAATGGCGAGTAATATAAATATGGTTTTGTAACCAAGACCCAAACCTGTACATAAGATTATATTATATATATATTGTGCATATTATCCATATGTATTTGGTTTGAAAGGTTAATCGGCTCACCTGTTTCAAAAAGATGTAATCACAAATCATCAATCTCTGTCTCAAATAAGTTGTGTGGACAGTGTGCTGAATAATGTGTATGATGACTCACTGTATTTTTTTAAGTACTGCAATAATAAATGATTCTATTGAATACTGTAAATGTGATCATGGCTTGAAAATAAAGTCATAATGAATATTAAGTCAGTTTGTGTCTTGATTGCAACGAATGCTTGCAGTTGTAAATGTGGAGCCGTTGATTGAGTGGGAGCCATCCAGTAAGTTGCAGAATTCAAGAGGGGATGAAATAATGTATCCCTCATTTTAAAATTTGGATTTAAACAATGCAAAAATTAGTGTATCTATTCTCCCCTTTGTTTAGTTGAGAATCAGTTTTAAAATATGTGTGTGTGTGTGCCTACTAGGCAACAAAACATTAAAATATCTGTGTGTGCAACAAATCCTCATTGCAGAGGGATAAAAACTGAGTCATGCAATCATGGGGTTGGATTGATGTTGAACATTTCCTATGATTGATGAAAAGTTGATCATGTTAAAGACAAGGCTGTAACTGTAATAACTATAGGAATACCCCAAAGAAACTGCTGCTTTAAGAACAACCATCTTATGAATTGAAAGTTCTATCCAGATTAACACTTGTAACACTTTTATGTCAAGAAACTGGTCTCAATGTTTCTCAGAACCCTGAGTTTGAAGAAAAATTTGTAAAGTCTTAACCAAGGGACTATATACCATGCATTAAGTTAAAGATATTTTTACCAACCTTATAGTGTAGCAGTTATGGTGAGGGGGTGACACTGGATTTTTGTATCTGTCCTCAGGGGTGGTGATAGAATTGCTTAGTCCAAGGGAGCAGAATCAGTTGTCTACTGCTAAATATATTTGTTGCCATAGGAGGAAATATGGCGCTAATGTCTTACATTTGACACAATGAGTGTAGATGAAAAGTACCATAACAACAAACAGACATTTATACTGACTTAAACAAGATTTCAGAATGTAAAAAAAAAAAATATATATATTCTTTATTATTGAAAGACTTAAACAAAATATCACATCACTTAAAAACCAGACACCATCTGAATAAAATGTACTGTTCTCTGCTTTTATGTTAATATATCTTTTAAAAAATTCATTGAAAATTTCTCTACACAGCTAAGAAGAGGGAGTGTGGAGTGTTTCAATTTTTATTTTTTAACATTCAACATGTAGATATTGATCCCCAGTCAACAATGCAACCTTTTGTTTCAAATACAGTGAAAATTGTTTAACACGAAACTGAGAGGACCGAAATATATCTTCATGTGAAAGAATTTCGTGTTAAATATGCATACCAAAAAAAAATGTACTCACCAAAATTACATTTATTTGAGAACATCACTATTTACATTTCAAATTATTATACATTTTGTACATACATATGTATGTATGAGTAAGCATGCATTTAATTAATAAAAGGAATAAAAAATTTAATAAAAACTTAACTTTAGTAATAAAAACAAATAAAAAATGTATTAATTTTTCGGAAAATAATCTGATATTTTTTTTTTGTGAATAGTCTTTTTTAGCATCAAATTGTCAACAAATTGTTCAATATGGTCCCTTGTATTATTCATTTCCAGTTAGCCTTCTTCACACGAGACAAGACCTCTTTTTTATTTCAGACCCCTCTACGATCTCACTGGCAGGTGCATGTATTTTGTTTATTCCGAGAAGTGAAATCTTTTAGTGTTATTTTTTTTTCATGTTAACAGAAAAAAAAACGTATGAAAATACCCAGTATTTTGTAGGGACCACATTAATATGTGTTAACCGATTTTTCAAGTTAAGCGTTAAACATGTTTCACTGTATTCAATAAATTATTTACAAATTTGTCCAGTTTTTCAGTAACAATGAAATTTCCACCATATGCAGGTAGCTGCTGTAAATTTAGTGTCATCACAGAATTAAACAGGCAGCAGATTCGCATTTTTCTTAATGTCTTGTTTTAAATTGAAGCATTGTATAGCCAATATTCGATTACTTAAATTTAATTTAATTAAAAAAATATAAAGTCTGCATACAATATACAATATTAAAAATACAAGTCCTTAATTACATAAAATGCAATATTTAATTTATATATTGCTTGTGGTAGCTAACTTCCAATGTGTTCCATCCCTTGACACTAGAGAGGAGAAGTGAACAGTAAATTAAATGAACAATAAGTGTCGAGTAAAAATGCATTAGAATTTAACAATTTATAAATATTATTTTACCTTAGTTTGTCATGCTTCTAAAATTGTTCAGTTTCAATACAAATTTAATTGTTGATATTTTTAACAATGAGTTGGCACAGTTGAATAAGATTTATAATTATTATGACTTAAGATATTGCTTCTTAACAACATTCTCATAAATTATCTATAATTCAACTTTCTCAATTAGTTTTATCTGTAGTATAGTTGATTTCTTTGGAAGAGATAGTTATAATGGGTTTGAGAATAATAAAACTTTAATGAATCAACAATGCGTTGAGCAAAAAACGACATACCAACAACATGATCCTTTTGAAGCTTCTGGAGATGTAACGTAACATTCTGAGCTGCCATTTCAAAGACGTTTTCATGCACACCCTTCAAAAAAAAAAATGTCAGGTTTAAGAGTAAAAAATACTGTTAAATCTTATGAACTTTAAAAATATGTTTTAGAACAAAGTACTGACAAAGCTGGCCATGTTTTTTGATGGTCCCAACAAACCAGGTTGTAGTGTTAAATTTACCATGTGGTGACCTGAGTCATGCGAACATGATATTCCTTGCATCAAATCACTATTTATAACTTCATATGAAGGACCAAAGCTGCAAAAAAATAAACTATACAATAAATATTTCTTCTTTTTTCCTTATTATTTAAAAAAAGTATTAACTGAATGATGTGGGGGAGGGGGAGAGAGAGGAGGGACATCAACAATAAATAATAGTTACCTTGTATACGCCTTTAACAATATCCATAGCTGTTAATTCTTGCCCTAGATTGTCTTTGAGAAACTGGATGATCTGCTGCTCCCTGTCGTGCCGATGCTTGATGTAATATTTGATGACCTGCACAGGGTTTTCAATGACAGGTCCATGACCTGGGTAGATGACTTTAGGCTCCATCTCAAGAATTTCATTCAGTGATCTCATGTATGACTGTAGATCCTCAATTATCTGAAAATTGCATTTAAATATTTTTTTGTGTGTTGAAAACATCATAATCATTTTTAACATCATGTCGAGTATTGTATTTAATCTATTTAAGCTTATGAAATGTATTCTTCTCATTTATAATTACCAGTGACGACAATTATAGAGATACTATATGTAAATCTATCTATCATTCATGTTGTGGACTAGATTAAGCGTCGTGAACATTTGTTATGAAAAGTTGTTGGCCCTGAGTGGATTTTGTGAGGGTGAGATGTGATTAATCAGGAGGGGTTAAGCAAGGTCAGATCATGGGGTTAGTTTGTGGTGTTCAGTTTAGAGTATGCTTAGTGATAGTTGTCGAGAGGGATTGAAGTAGTTAAACGGTAGATGTGAAATTTAGTCTGAGGACAGGAGGTAGTGTCGTGAGGAATTTCTAACAAACAAAATTTTGTAAACTGCCAATTATTATAACTAATAAAGGTTTCATTACTTCAATTGAGCGTTGGTTATTGTCTTACGTATGAACCAAGCACAGCTCACGTGTGTATGTAGTAAAGTAGGACCAGGCGCTAAGAACATAAACCACGATAATAAGGTTTACCGAAGGAAGATCGTAACAATTCAGTAAAAGAAGGTTAGGGTAAAAAAAAAATTGATAAAACAATGCTGTACAAAACAAAGCCACCAAACTATGTAAATTATTTTCTGTTGATCTCACAACTCACAGTTGTACTGCCCCCTAAAATAGTATCTCCTGAAAACACTGATCCGTCCTCTTCAAGCTGTAAGACTATGTGGTCTTCTGAGTGTCCTGGGCCATGGTAGGCTCTGAGGAGTAAGCAACATCTTGCTACATGGAGAAAAAAAACTCTGTAAGATGGTCACGTCTTTGCAACAGTCTGTCTTCATGAGACGATGGTGTGGCTTGTTTTTATTGACACCTTGGCAGAGGGGTTCTTAACTTGGGCGGCACATGAGGCAGTGTCAAGGGCAAGAGTCTCAGAAAATCAAGTTTATTTGCATTTTTATTACCATTATTTATTGTGGGTCTCAGGAAATATGTTTTGAAATCAAGATAGGGATCTGGGGGTGTAAAAAAGTTTAGAACCCCTACCTTAGCGAGTGTCTTATGATGGTATTTTACTGATTTTTTAGTCTACTGATTACTTACATTCATCATTTTAAGGGAAATCAGGGGTAAACAATAATACTGAAGCTACAAAAGCTTGATTCTCTAAAAGTAAATACCGTACCTTATGTTTGATCCAGCTTAAGCTACACACATAAAAAAATATGTAATTCAATAACAATTTAAAGCTTCAGTCTCTGCAGGGCCATGATATTATTGATACACTTTCTAGTGCCCGCCTCTACACTGCCAGCAGTTAAACAAAATAACAAATCTGAATTTAGGTCTTCTATCTAGATCTAGAGCAAGCCTGCACAACTCAAAATGTTAGGCTGGCCATAATACATTGTGAAGAACTCGAGTGGGCCAAAAGAAAATAGGACAGGACTTGTGCGGGCCAAAATAAATAGGTCAGGAGGAAAGCTATTAAGAAAATAATAAGAATAAAGAATATTTCGTTACTTCCGGGCTGCAAAGTGGGTGCTGGCTGGCCACATGGGGCCCCAGGGCCATATGTTGTGCAGGCCTGATCTAGAGTACTCTGTTGTCTCACCAGAGTGTAATTAGACCAGTTGGATAAATTTAAAAAATTGCAATTTCATTTACATCACAATCTGGAGGAGTATCTTTTTCTTTCATTTTGGTTAATGAAAGCACATATATATTGGACATTGCAGGGATTTGAGTTCATTAAAGTACTTTCATACTGTCGATTTGTTGATTGGATTCTTAACTTTCTGTGACTATGTGCTACGCTGTGACCCTGTGTACTCGCTGCAACAAAAATGGGGCTGTCAAATTTCATTTTCACGGGTTTGTGAGTGTTGAAGTATAATGTTTGCTGGCCATATACAAAAACTATCCCATCACATTTTTATAATTCACATGCTTTGTCATCACCTGACAGGTTGACAAAATAGCAACCGGTATAAAATGGAGAGGTCGCACACACACAAAATTTCTGGGGTGGGTGGGTGAATATACCTTTGTTTTTTGCTTACATGCTGTTTTTTATTTCATTTATGTATTTTATTTTAATATCATGATTATGTCTCTTTGCTAATTTTTTTATGTACAGCGCGGTGAGCCCAGTCCTAGGCTGGGGTACCGCGCTATATAAGACCACTTATTATTATTATTATTAAATATGATGAATTTTATTTTATATCAGTGAACTCATTTACAAATTTTAATTAATATTTGTATCGGCAATCGATATAAACTTTGTGACATAAATTTAAAGTTTTATTTAATTGGAGTGGGCAAGACGAAAAAGATTATAGAGAAACCATGTCTTGTTTTTAAAAAATGGAATGAATTAAAGGTTTAAAAAAACAATTTGTACTTGTTAATTTTCATGGCACAGGTGGTTATTGGTAAAATCATAGATAAAAGAAAAATGCCAAATTTATTCCTTCAAAGAGCCAAAGGCAGCTGCAGGTTATTGACCGTTGCTAGCACATACATTTAAGATTGATAGATATAGACAAAAGTTCTGTATCAGATTTCAAAGTTGTGCCTGCTCAGTGTGGACACCAACGTCGGATATCTGTGTCATTGATTTTTAACATTGGATTCACCACTGAGATTTGTGGCTTCAACAAATCTGCTGTGTGAATGTAGCTTGAGAATGGCTTTTTCTGATTTTACAGTCAAGAAGGTGTTTGTTAAACTTTTTTCATGTTTGTTAATGACCTTACTGAAAGGTGGCAAGACATTTTTAACCCTTAAACTTTTGAAAGAGAATAACTTGTACTTTTAAAACATATTTTCACTAAGGGAGAGAGGTTTTATGTTACAATATAACTGAATTTTGGGCTTGAATAACAATTTCAAAGTCTAGTGTTTAAAATTTTTCTAGTTAAAAAATGCTGTCTTAATAAGAATATTTATCCATGTGCTGAAAATGGATATGTACAAAGTAACACATTTCTATTTATTTGGATTAATAAAAGAATCTTGCTCAGGTAAAATATAACTGAGTTCTTGATTTCATTTCATGGCTACAAGATTTAGCTTTCCCCGCATATTTAACCTTAAAATCTAAATAAGCCAAACCCCCATTGACAATCTCTGGCATAAGTTCAGCAATAGGGTTACAAAAGTGACTCAAAACTTTTGATTAAACATTTAAACCGGATTTCAATTTCTCAAAGACTGACTAACCGAACTTGCTTCACACAGGGAGCTATTAATTAACGTTCACTTACTTGAGTGTGGCACCTTCAGTTTTAAAGACCTGCCTATCTTTGATGAAATTGTAACTTGTTTCTAGCAAAGGCAAGTCAGCAGCTGACTCTCTTTTTATCTTGGAGGTAAGAAACCCTTTAGGAAAAGAAAATCTTATGAATTAATGAATTCAAAAAGTAGTAAATCTGTGTGAGCAGAGGTTATAATTTGCATGATTTGAAATAATTATTCAACTCCTGGGAAAATTTTTTTTTTTTAAACACTGTATAACATAATCAAAACACATATTTCATTAGGACGGTTTTTTGTGATGGGGGTGAAAGGGGGGGGGAGAAAGGGGGGGGGAGAAGAGTTAAGCAATGTAATTCCAAATAAAAAGTGGATATAATTGAAAGGATTTTTACTATAATTTATTTTCACACCGATTTTAATGATTAAAATTTTCTCTAAGTTAGTGAATGCTTGATTGTTGATTGATTGATTGTATTTTATTCCATGTTTTCATTTTTTTAAACTATGATCACCAGTAGTATCGGTACTGTGGAGAACCGGTATATGAGTATGTGAGGTCAGAGCCCACCCTGACCACCCGATGAAGTTACAGGACGAGAGTCCAAGGTGCAGTGACTTTGAACGTTGAGATAATTCCTTTTAAAAAGTAAAAAATGCCAATATTGGAGCCTGAGGTACACGTGAAGTGGGATAGGTCAACAAAAAGAAAAGATTGACCAGGAAAAATTAACAAAGTGAATTTTTTAGGGAAATGTTTCTGACACCGTTGCAGTAATTCCATATCCATAGGGACTTCACAGGTCTATTGGTTTTAGATAGGAAATGAAAGCATAATTTAATTTAGACCTCCCATCAAAAACTGCCCAGTTGTTTTTAAATGAATTTTTTTAAATTGTTTTTTTTCCCCCAATAATTAATTTTTGTGAATTGAAGACAGCTGGAGCAGTAAATGTTTCTTACAAATTTGACAAATCAGTTTGCAGAGTAACATTGAATATATAATAAAATAAAAAATGAAAGTGATTTGAAACATTAGGTGAATCAAAGAATTAATTTTAATTTTGAAATGATATTTGTGACATAAAATTTTCAGGGGATCTAACATTTTGTAATGGGGAGGGGAAGGGGGGAAGTGAGATTGAGTGAGTGAGTGAGAGACTGAGTGAGTGAGAGTGAGAAACTGAGGGAGAGAGAGAGTGAGTGAGAGAATGAGAGAGAGAGTGAGAAAGAGGGAGTGTGAGATAGTGAGTGAGTGTGAGAGTGAGTGAGAGAGTGAGTGAGTGAGAGTGAGTGAGAGAGATTGAGTGAGAGATTGAGTGAGTGAGAGAGTGAGTGAGACTGAGTGAGAGAGAGTGAGAGTTTGTAAAAATAGGCAAAAACAATGTGATTTAATTAATGTATGGTTCTTAATTCTGAATGTTCTTAATATATTTTAAGGAAAGATTTTAAAAAATGAATTATACACAGATACATAAATATTTATACTAAGCACTACTTGCAATTCCATGTAAAAAGAATTTATACAAAATGCATACTTGATCCAAGAGCTCGACATATTCCATCCACACCTCCCACATGATCATGGTGCCAATGTGTCACAATGATTTCTTGAATATCAACTGAATGATCTGACAAGGATGTCTTGAGCAATTCAATATATTCATTTACATTGGGGTCTCCGGTGTCTATGAGGATTCGTCTGCAAACAGCCAACAAGTGAATCTATAAAAATTTAAGAAAAACTCTTATTTATTTCCTTTGGCTATGGTTAAATAAATAATAGATCAATATTCATAACTTAAAAACTACTATACTACAAATAAGAAATTAACCTAGAAAATTGGTTTTGATTTCCTTTAAAAAAAAATTATTTAAAGTTTTAGTTATCTCCATATTTTTGAGGGGTGATATTTTTGTATACTAAACTCAAGACTATCTGTGAGCACTTATGGTTTAATATTTGATATGTTAATGATAGGTCTAATAGGTTAATCAATATTATCATTAATTAATAGCAAGACCAAAACCAAAAATTATTAAAAAAATAAATCCACTATGATAAATAGTTAAAATTTAAATAGGCACTAAACTAAAACTATTAAAAAATTGAATGTTGAGAGAGTCTCTGGCAGGATCTTTTATAAATAATATTTGACATAGTAATATTTTAAATTAGAGATGTAAACTGTTAAGGACTTGAATGTATAGTGTGATTATGTGTTGTTTGTAGAGTATTTGGGTAGATGTTGATATTAAATGTTTGGTATTTTGTGACGTATTGTGCTTACGTGGAAATGACGTATTGTTGTGGAGTTTGTTGTGTTTTTGAATAATGGCAGTTGATGATGTAGTTTGGTTCATAAAGATACTTTATTCTAATAATCAATGGTTTTTTGTCATTAATATAATAACCCCTAGACAAATCGAAGCTAACAAACTTGGTAAGAACGGGTTTGTAACATGAACCAAACCCAACACGAACTGAACACATCAAACTCAAACCCTGCTGATGACAGAACAGAACCTGATGGCGACCAAACCGAACCCAAATTTGAACACCATTGAGAATGAACCACATGAGCCTATTCCAAACATAATAGATCCAAAAATGTTTTACAAATGTGGCACATCACTAATTACGCCAGAAATGCTAATATTTTAATTAAAACTAAAAAACCCAATGGTGAAATGATTTTTTGTAAACCAAAATGATCTTTTTTATCTTCCCCGCCAACAACCTTTTGCACATAGGCTTTATTTGCATTAATGCGTGAACAAGTAATCAACAACCACTATGTAGTTGACTTGCATCATTTAAAAACAAACAAAATTAGAATTGTGTATAAATCTAATATGCTTTGTGCAAGAAAAGTATCAGTGACACTCAGTGAGCATTTTAAGGTGGAGAAGATTGGTAAGCCATTTTGAATTGTCTTTTCAATACGATAAAAACATTAAACTCAATAAAAAAAAATTATGATTCCCTATTTTTTCACTAAATATTAATGACCCATACATTTATAGTGATATAAAACCCAGTACTATGAGAGCTAAAGAAAGTGTTTTTTTTTTCAATTTTAATGCACTGCTATGAAAACGCTTAGTTTATAAAAACTAATATTACTGAAATTGCCAAACTTCAGTGGTTGCTGAACCAAACCCTAACTTAAGTTGTTACTGAATCAAACTTCTAAAAGATTAGAGTTTAAGTGTAGGTCAACTAGGCATACTTTAATTCTAAAATTGGGAAAATTTACGTTTGGCAGGCCACTTATTTCCCATGGCTGCTGTCTTGGTTGCATTGATGGCAGACGTGTCATGGCAATCAAGGAACTATCAAAACATGGATCTCTAGCTTCCTCAGCAACTGATGCCAGGCAGTAGTGGTAGATGGCACAACTTCCTCCTTTGTCTGTGTTAAGTCAGGAGCCCCCCAGGACTCAGTGCTAGGCCCCTGTTTGTTCCTAGCATCAATGGCCTGCCTGAGAAGCTGACCTCCAAGAGAGACTGTTCGCAGATGACATGGTGCTGTACAGAATGATCACTAACAGTACTGACCAGCACCAGCTACAACAGGAACTCCATCGGTTAGCTGAGTGAGAGATGAGCTGAGACATGGAATTTCTTCCCGTCAAGTGACAGACCCGGTCAGTCTCCAGAATGGGTAATAAGGGGAGAGACTGCAATCAGGTTAGTACAAAATAAAATGAGTAAAACAGAGTAGGGTTAAACCTGAAAAAATAAACGCAACAAAACAGCGAACGTGTCGGCAGAAAGCCTTCGTAAGCAAACAAAACAACAGAAAAAACGTTATAAAAATAAGAAATAGCACTTAGCTGGTAAGTAGTATCTGTGGGCAGCAATAGATACTACTTACCAGCTAAGTGCTATTTCTTATTTTTATAACATTTTTTCTGTTGTTTTGTTCGCTGACGAAGGCTTTCTGCCGACACGTTCGCTGTTTTGTTGCGTTTACTTTTTCAGGTTTAACCCTACTCTGTTTTACTCATTTTATTCAGTCTCCAGAAGCAGAACCCCTCTACACCACCCTTACGAATTGCATGGCCATATTCATGATCCACTTTCCTTCATAAGGTACCTCAGTGTTATCATTTAAAGAGAGGTCCGCTGGGAGGAGCACATTAACAATGTGTGCAAACGGGCAAACACGACCCTAGGGTTCCTAAGTCAAAATATGAAGATCGGCAACTCCAGCTTAAAAGAAAAATGTTTCCACATTTCTTTTGCTGCCCACGATACTACTTCTAAGCTAAGTGCTATTTCTTATTTTTATTTTATACCGTTTTTTTTCTGTTGTTTTGTTCGCTGGCGAAGGCTTTCTGCCGACACTTTCGTTGTTTTGTTGCGTTCCTTTTTCTAGGTTTAACCTTACTCTATTTTACATTGTGCTAACCTAATTGCTGTCTCTCCCCTTATTACCCTGTAGTGTAGTCTGCAGTATAGATAGATCCCAAGCCTTGCTATGCACTTCTAAGCATAGACAGTAATAGTAAAGACTTAGTTTAGTAAGTTCTTAGACGCTAAGACTAAGAGTACTAAGACTAAGTCTAAGATTACTAACACAAGAGTAGTCCTTATTTGTATTTGTTTTTTCCATGGCGCTACACTATCGCTATTGTCAATTGTTAATGACGACTTATGCACAATCCCCTGCCCCTAGTGTGCCCATTGCCCAAGAAAATGAAAAGTTTGAACACAACACTTTAGTTTTTTTAACACCCTTATCTATTTCTGAACAGATAATTCTTTTTATGTTATTAGCAATTGTTTCAAACAAGTTAGTCACAAAATAATTTGCAAACGTATCAAATTTTGGCTCATTCCAAAATAATGTCTGGGCCACAGCCACAGGGACTAATTTAATAATAATAATTTGCAAGATAATAACCGGGACTGAGGCTATACACACAAAAAGTAAGGGTTAATGCTTTTAAAATTAATTGAAAAAGATTTTTCAAATTTAGAAAATAATAGATTTAAATATTTTTGTGACGTCACAAATTTTTTTACCCCCCCTTCCCCCTGTCACAAATTCAGCTAAATCTGAGGACAGCTGCTACAGGGTCTTCTGTGTTTTTTATAGTTGCAGTGAATTAGGGTTTAAGTTAGGCTGAGGTGTCAATTTAGCTTCAGGTTAGGCATAGTGATCGATTTAGGGATACATTGCTGAAATTTGATAAAATATTGGCAGTGTTCCTTGTAAATTACACCAAATTCTCCACCCCCCCCCCCCCCCCATTTTTTTTCCAACCCTAATTTGCAAACGATCCCTAACTACGTAGTAAGATAAAAAAAAGTGTTGCTTGTACCTTTTTCCGGTTCCAACTAGGTAAGTATTAGTACCTTGCAAGGTTGCTGGTCCGGGATTGCAACCCAATATTCGTATGACCCGTTGTGAAAGTTGCATAAATTTTGGGATTACTTCTGCCATTTTGATGATCATTTGGGCAGGGCTGCCACTCACTTTTTTAAAATTTCCCAAGATTTCGTGCGCAAATTTCCCAAGAATTCCCAAGAACATAAAAATATATCGAAGTGGCTATAGGTACCCGAGTACCCATCGTCACCAATAACTATTCGCACCCGAAAGTCTTAGTAATCGAAAAAAAAACATGATCCGAACCAAAGGCTTAATAATCGACAAGTTTGCCGCGCTTTCTTTTATAAAAATGGAGGTTGGCAGCAATTATGACACCTATACGTCTTTTAAAGACGAATTGAATTATTTTTGTAAAGAACACAATGTGTGTTTCACTAAAAGATCGTCAGAGAAGATGAAAGATCCCAATTTTGAACACCTTAAATATGAATATATAATTCACTGTTGCAAACAAGGAGTTAAACGCAAGTCAAAGTCTTCAACGACAACAACAGGCCAAAGAAAATCACAAGCGTAAGTAATAAAGTAATAATAATAATAGGTTAACTTTAAATTTATTTGGACTTGTCATGTAATAATTCTTTCTCCAAGCCAATGATTCTTACCATGGTAAATGTAGAGGACGAATGCCACTATTTTATCGATGGCCGCGACTAATGACTAATGAGTCACTAATGTATCCCTAAATTGATCCCTATGCCTATGCCTAGGTACTTTGACACAAAATTTAAATATTGTCCGATCGACATGAATGATACATCATTTTAAAGGGCTAGCTATAAGCTTTACAACAACATCAATTTCATCTTTCTATCTTTTATAGAAGTGGAGTTATGATTTTTTTGGTGATTTTTTAAGACCCCCTTCTTTATCTTAGTATTTAACTGAAAAAATGTGTGACCCACTTTCCAAATTTCTGCCTTATTTTGCCCAAAACTTTTGGATTTTAAAAGATAATGCTACCAAATTTTCAGGAGACAATCTCAATGCAATATACAACCCAATAAACAACAAAACTTTTACATAACATCAAGACTTTTATTTTTTTAAATTATTTATTTGTGGGTATGTTCAGAAAAAAGTGAACAGAAAAATTGGGAAAATCATCACTATACAGGAAAAAACGAAAAAATAACATGTTTATTGAATTTTAACTAATTTTATTATGCTTGATTTACATTTTAAATCAATTATTATATTTATAAAAAGGTAAGTAGTCTTTTTATATATATATAAATTGGAACGCATGTAATTATAAATAAAAAATACTCAAAATCATCTATGATGATGAGACTAATTTATTAAAAAATGTTATTTGATAAATTAAATAATTGTCTATGTACTGCTTTTCTATGTTCTAATAAAAAATATAATTACAACGATGATGTTGTTTGATTCTTGTTTATTTATTTGATGTATTTTAATAAAACTGTTATATATATGCTTAACTAAAAAATATATTATTAGTAAGTGTGGTTCTTGATTGTCGTAGTACTAGTAATAGAATTATGATTATGAAAAATTAAGCTTAGGCAGGATTATAATAACAGTTGTTTATAATTATAACTGATATATCGGCCTAATTTTAGTAATATTCTCTGAAATAATTATTAAGAGAAAAACGATTATTATTATTGACATTACTATTATAACACTATTAAATTTAAATATTGATTCAATAATTATGAAGAACGATAAACTGTCTACCGGTACCGTACACAATTTTTAACGTAATAAATAAAACTTAAAACCAACCCTTGGTTACTACATAATTAAACTTTGGTTATAATCTTTTCTTAAAATTATTCATTTTAAACGTCTTATCATTATTTAGCTGTTTAAGGATTTAACATTAACGAATCACAGTGATAGCAGCCATTTCCGGCTTCTTGATCAAAATAAAAAAATGACAATTTTGTACCCCCACTCCTTCGTGGGATGCATAACTTTTTATAGACAATGTCAAGATAATAACTCAAATAATGAAAAAAGTCTTAAAATGAATGTAGATTGGGTATCACTAAACCTTATTTTGGTTGCTTAACTAGTAAAAAAGTATTTTATACGATTTATATACTAACCGAGTCATTATAATAATACTGTCCGGGATACACAAAAAAATCTAGTGGCATAAATCAATATATCACCGGAACACAAAAACTGATACGTCACTGATGAGGAAAGCATTATTTAATAAACAAAGGCTACGTAGTATGCAATTTTCCAAAGATACCGTGTAGCCGTACGCCATATTGTAGAACACATTTTATCGACATTTTAGGACATGCGCAGAACTGTGCGTGAACAAGTATTGTTATCCCTACTATGCCTAACCTGAACCATAAATTTAAATCGACCCTCAACCTAACCTAAACCCTAATTCACTGCAACTATAATAAAGAAGCAAATGATGCTGTGGCATTCGTGCTCTACATTAGCCCTTATCACTTGTGACTTGTGGCAATTCGTTGATAATTTTTATATTTTTCAGTTCTTTCAAATTGGAATGCCAGGCCAAAGATAAAGCTTGTTGCCCAGAGAAATCCTTCTCTGCTAGAAATTACCAAATCAATGCTTGAACATACTGGCCATGAAGTATCAAAAGAAGTAAGTGCATGTGCTGCGAAAAATATTTAGACATAATAATAATAAATAGCATATTCTTGTGGCAGGTTGTTTCACCTACAGTACATAGTACTATTGACTATAGAGTTTGAGATGGATGCATTTAAAATAATGTTTTGTACCATTCATTAACCAATTCAATCTAGGGCCCTCAGAAATTTTATCATTGAAAAATTTAGGTTAAGGTTAGGGTTACCACCCTTACCATAGAATTAGAAAGGTTTTGAAAAAAATTAAGACAAATCTATTTAACAGTATAATTAAATTTAATAAATTCTAAATAGTCCAGACAGAGTTTTAATCTTAATTTTGATTATTGTGACATATAATAAACATAAAACATTTATCCCCAAGGTGAAGGTTAGTTATTTTTATGTACACAGCGGTGAGCCCAGCCCTAGGCTGGGGTACCGCACTATATAAGACCAATGTTCCCTCTAAGGTTTGTTGTTTTGTGTGCAAAATCATAGTTATGTGGAAAGTTTTACAGCATCAATTTTTTTGTGTGCAAAATTTTACAGTCCAGAAACACAAACACACACTTACTGCACGGATACTCAAAACTGCAGCGCGGCGTCTGTGAGATAGGAACATTTTATAAGACCACTAATAATAATAATAATAATAATAATGTTTGCAGGGCATATTTTTTTACATAATACTTATTATTGCAAAGTAACCTTTGTGTGTTTTTTTCCAGATGTGCCGCTTGTACCCTGAAAACAGCAAGGTGGAACTAAATGCGGCAACGCATCTGTTGATGTCCTGCACCACGATTCAGGCATCTGAGGCCCGGCAAGTGCTTGAAGAACAGCATGATGTGGATTTGCTTCCCAGGGATATTTACAATATTAAGTCAAGAATAAATAAATCATCTTCTGATGCAACTGAAACTCAATCTATACTTCATTCTATATCACAAGCTGGTGGAAGTGTGTCCTATGGACTAACAGAAAGTGGAGAATTTAAGTATTTATCATACATGACTGATGATATGATTAGAATTATTGCCCAATATCCAGAGGTTTTATTAATGGATTTCACATATAAAACCAATAAATATTTATATCCACTTTTGAGCAAGTTTCCTCCGTAAAGTACCTGGGTGTTACCATTCAAAGAGAGGTCCGCTGGGACGAGCATATTAACAATGTATGTAACCAAGCAAACCAAGCCTTAGGGTTCTTAAGGCGAAATCTAAAGATTGGCAACTCCTGTGTGAAAGAAAGAGCATATAAAGCCTTTATCCGTCCGATTTTAGATTATGCATCTTCAGTCTGGGACCCATTTACCCAGAAGAGCATTGACAGGTTGGAG